TTTTGTACCTGTTAAGGTTTGCTTTGTTACTGAGTATGTGGTTGATTTTAGAGAAGATTCCATGGGGTGCTAAGAAGGTATATTCTTTTGCATTTGAGTGGAATGTCTTATAGATGTCTGTTAGGCTCATTTGAGTTAGGTCTTTTATATCTCTGTTAGGTTTTTTATTTCTCTGTTAAGTTTCTGTCTGGAAGACCTGTCCAGTGGTGAGAGTGGGTGTTGAAGTCTCCCACTATTAGTGTGTAGTGCTTGATGTGTGATTTAAACTTTAGTAATTTTTTTTTACATATGAGGGTGCCCTTGTATTTAGGGCACAGATGTCCAGAATTGCAACTTCATCTTGATAGATTTTTATGTGATGAATATGAAATGACCTTCTTCATCTCTTTTGATTGATTTTAGTTTGAAGTCCATTTTGTTAGATATTAGGATAGCTACAACAACTTGTTTCTTAGGTCCACTTGACTGGAAAATTTTTTCTCAACCCTTTATTCTGAGGTAATGTCTATCTTTGTAGTTGAAGTGTGTTTCTTGCCTGCAGCAGAAAGATGGATTTTGTTTTCACATCTAATCTGTTAGCCTATATATTTTATAGGTGAATTGAGTCCATTTATATTAAGGGATAATAATGACCAGTGATTGTTAGTTTGTGTTATTTTTGTTTTTGTTGTTGCTGGCGGTATTCCGTGTGTGTGTTTCTCTTTTTAAGTATTTGCTTGGGTGGTATTATTTATTGCCTGTGTTTTTGTGAATGTAGCTAAACTAACTTCCTTGGGTTGGAGTTTGCCTTCTAGTACTTTCTGTAGGACTGGATTTGTGGATAGCTTTGTTTAAATCTCTTTTTTTTTCATGGAATATTTTGTTTTCTCTGTCTATGAATTGACAGCTTTGCTGGGTAGTCTGGGCTGGCGTCCATGGTCTCTTAATGTCTGCATAATGTCTGACCAGGACCTTCTAGCTTTCATTGTTTCCATTGAGAAGTCAGATGTAATTCTAATTGGTCTGCCTTTATATGTTACTTGGCCTTTTCCTTTGCAGCTTTTAATAATTTTTCTTTATTCTTTATGTTTAGTGTTTTGATTATTATGAGGCAAGGGGACTTTTTGGGGGGGCAGTCTATTTGGTGTTCTGTAAGCTTCTTGTATTTTTTTTAAATAAGCATTTTTTTAAAAATATTTATTATGTATACAATATTCTTTCTGCATGTATGCCTGCAGGCCGGAAGAGGGCACCAGGCCGGAAGAGGGCACCAGACCTCTTTACAGATGGTTGTGAGCCACCATGTGGTTGCTGGGAATTGAACTCAGGACCTTTGGAAGAGCAGGCAATGCTCTTAACCGCTGAGCCATCTCTCCAGCCCCAAGCTTCTTGTATTTTTATAGCTAGGAAAGTTTTATTCTATGATTTTGTTGGGAAAGTTTTCTTCTATGATTTTGTTGAATATATTTTCTATGTTTTTGAACTGGGCTTCTTCTTCTCTTTTCATGGTGTCCCAGATTTTCTGGATATATTGTGTTAAAATTTTGTTGGATTGAACATTTTCTTTGACCGATGAATCTATTTCCTCTATCGTACCTTTAACACCACCTGAGATTCTCTCTTCTCTCACTTATATCCTGTTATTTATGCTTGCATCTGTAGTTCCTAATCTTTTACCCAGATTTTCCATTTCCAGAGTTTCCTTGGTTTGTGTGTTTTTTAAATTGCCTCTACTTTGGGTTTTAAGTCTTGAACTATTTCCTTCATCTGTTTGTTTGCTTTTTCTTGGTTTTCTTTAAGAGATTTGTTGATCTCTTCCTTTTTTTTTGTCTTTTCTTCCATTTCTTTAAAGGAATTTTTCATTTCCTCTTTAATGGCCTTAGTCATCTTCATATAGCCATATTTAGTGCCATTTTCTTCTGCTTCATCTGCGTTGGGGAGTTCAGGTCTTCTTGCTATAGAACCACTAGTTTCTGGGGTTGTATTGCTCTATGTGTTGTTTAGTGTATTCTTACCTTTTTGTTTACCCATCTCTTCCTCCGATCAGTATGGGTGGAGCCTGTGCTTCAGGGCGTCCCTCTTCCTTCAGTTGGAGTGGCTGGGGGCTGGGACTCCACTGAAATGTCCTTCAGGTGCAGGCAGGGCTGAGAAGGTGATTGCTTCTCCAGGTGTAGAGGGGCCCTCTAGGTGCAAGTAGTGTGGCTTTTTCGGTGATTGTTGCTCTGGGTATAGGTGGGGCTGAGGCTGAGGCTTCTGTGGTTGGATAGTTTATGGAGGCTTCTGCTGTTGCCAAGGCCCAAGGTGGACAGGGACGCTCTCTCCTGGCATGGCCCTACTGGATTGAGATCTCAGGGCATTGACGAGCACAGCTCTATCTGCTCTCTAGAGATTTTTTTCTTTTTGGATTTTCGAGACAGGGTTTCTCTGTAGCTTTTGGTTCCTGTCCTGGAACTAGCTCTTGTAGACCAGGCTGGCCTCGAACTCACAGAGATCCGCCTGCCTCTGCCTCCCGAGTGCTGGGATTAAAGGCATGCGCCACCACCGCCTGGCTTTCTCTAGAGATTTTTATCTTCAATGACCTCACAGAATGAACATTCACTGTGTTTCTAGACATAAATTTGTCTGATTTTAGGAATAACTCTTTTGGGTCTGCAATGCATTTGGTAGGTGCTGAAACACAGGCTAAGAGGTCAAGTGACGTGCCTGTGATCACACAGGTAGCAGGTGGCAGGGTGTGGACTTGTCGATGTTGAGTCCAAACTCTCAACCTCCTCCTCCTCCAGAATTGGATGTTGAAGCTAGGGCTTTTGCACCAGGGTGTTACTCATGATTGACAAAGGCATTGGCGAAGATGGATACTCAAGGGCTCTTTCCAGTCTTCTGTTTTCAGACACAGTCATGTTAAGCTACCCAGGCAGTCCTTGAACTTGAAATTCTCCTGCCTCAATTGCTCTAATTAGTTGTAGTAATGGGTCTAGGATAGAAGGTCGAACTGATGCCCAAACTCTTGATCCCAGTCACTCAAATCTACCTGGTTTTAATCTTGGGAAGTTGATGTAATGGCATCAGGTTGAGACCTCAAAGATACACTAAATGTCCAAGAGAAGATGTTCTGCTTTCTGACTAACTCAAAAGATGTTTTCATGTACTTTCTAGGGAACTTAACCCCATAATTAACAAAAATAACAACATCTATATTTATGAATCCTATATGTTGGTGTGCTGGGGCCAGTTCATACTGGTTCTCACTGGCTATTAATAGTTCATGCACAAGGCTTCCAGCAGAAGTTATGGCCCAGATTACAGACTGGTTTTCCCAGCTGAAAAAATCTGGATTAAAGGTGTGTCTTCCTGCCTCATAGATCCAGATTAGAAGTAGTAGATCCCTCACAGGTATGAACCTCCATTTTGGAGTTTTATTTAATTCCAGATGTAGCCATATTGACAACTAAGGATAGCCATCACAGCTTCTCAGCTCCAAGTTCAACCACACACACCATATTCATGAGGTTGAGATCAGCCATGGTGGGGTCCTCACATATTTAAATTACAGAGATTGGCACCGTTATAAATCATGATCTCTGGGTTTTGAGAACAGGTAACTTAAGCCTTTAGAAGCATGTCTCCAACAGCAAGTTAAAACATCCCACACGGAGAGCAGGCTCTATCGGAATACACCAACTCTAGTAAATACCCTGACTTCTCGTGGAGATCTTTCTGGATGTCATTACCTCGTCTGGTGGCCAGGTCTGGTCCTGGTTCCGTCTGCCAGGAGCCAGGAATGCTTAGATCTTCAGTGGATTCTGCCTGATGCGTCCTGGTAAAATATTGCCTCCTAGTGTGATCTTACTTTTTTTTTTTTTTTTTGAAATTAGCAGCTTGGGCCCCCATTCTGAGGCATGGAGACAGATGGATCCCAGGGACTCAGTGCTGGGAAACTGTTCTATTCAACTCAGCCTGGGTCTTCACAGTACAAACCCAATTCCTCAAGGCAGGGTTCTCTACCCTCTTTCACTGCTGTTGTTTCATTCGGGCAAACATCTGGGCCTCCCAAAGATGGCGTCTCTACAAGCCGAAAGCTATCTCTACAGCTCCTGAAACAGTGACTTCAAAGCTCTGGTGTGAGCCATCCCTGAGGTGGCACCGCTTACATTTTCATGGGTTAGTCAGCATTCTCCAGAGTTTCCATCCGGGTTTACCTAGCTGCTTCAGAACCTGGAACAAGTAAGTACCTTAGGTCTAAGTGAAGGAATAACCTTCAACATATATTTAAAAAACCAACAGAACAAAATTCAAGCCAGTCAGCCAAACAATGACCCAACCAATCAACCAACCCATCCACCAACCAATAACTAACTAACCAATTTACTTATTTAAGCAGCCTATGAACCAACCCAACCAACCAACTTGCCCACCAATGAACCAATAAACCAACCAACAACCTACCCACAAACCGACCAGTGAACAATCCCAGTCAACGCACTCACTAATGAGCCAGTGAACCAAGGAACTAACTCAAGCAAGCAAGCAAGCAAACAAAATTCCCCTGGACTAAAGGAGGAAAAAAAAAAGAACAAAGAACAAAGGTGTATGTGTGGGGGAGCAGTGGTAGCAGAGGTAGGGGGACATTCAGAAACAAGGTTGAGGGGACACAGGGTGATCAGGAGGAGCCTGAAATCTGGTTGTCGATCCACAGTATGCTGGTGTAGCTTGCCCAGTTCTGTGGTGAAACTTTTCCCTCTATGCCCCATTTTAAGCTACTGGTGCATTGCCACATTGCCACACGGCATCAGGAAGAGATGCTTATAAAGAAGTGTGTACAATGGACTCTGGAGAAAGCATAGGAGCTGGCTCCAACTTACCTGGGTCTGGATTCATAGAGAGAGAGCATGCCAACTCCTAAAGCCAGTCACCCACCAAAAGCACCAAAGTGAGGGAGCGGGTGGAAAGGGTGAGGTTCCCACCCCTTACCATCCAGGTGAATGCTAGTTTACAGTAGGAAGCAGGGCCGCTGGCCTTACTTGGGGTTCCAACAGGAAATCAAGGGCCTCATGGTGTGGTGGGTGTGGTCGATAGTCAGGGCCTCGAGGAGCCAGTGGAGTGCACACAGCTGGCGGTAGAGGGAATCCCTGCAGAGACAAGGGAGGAACACACTATAGAGACTGCAGCTGTGCTCGCTTCAGTGAGCACGCTGGCTTCAGTGAGCACGCTGGCTTCAGTGAGCACGCTGGCTTCAGTGAGCACGCTGGCTTCAGTGAGCACGCTGGCACATGGGTAAGTGTTTGGCCACATTGAACACGAGGACCCTGGAGTTCAGGGGGGTTAGGGAAGCCACACAGTCATGCCATCGAGCCATGACTGAAGCATGAGCATCCTATTCCAGTTCCTCTGAATTTGTGTGGAGTGGGTAGCGTTTCCCCTGGCTGGAGACCATGACTCAGGCAAATAAAATGAGAATTGAAGGCAATTAATACTCCACTGATGTCCAGTCATCTATCTTATAAAAATGTAATAAATAGCCTGAGGGCATAAGAAAGCCTGGAAATGGGGAACAGCATTAGCTGGGTTGAAATGTAGCTGGCTACTGGAGAAAAACACACTGAGTGCATTGTTTGAAAATGAAACAAAAACCACTGCCTAACAATATGTCTGATGGACATTTCTCATCGCTTGGAGACCTTACACTGTCCACAGCAAGCCAGACATCGACTGCTGTGCTTTTTCCGTATTATTTAATGTTTCCAACAACCTGGTGGGGTATGAATTATTATCTCCATTTTAGAGAAGGGGTTTTAGAGTACAACCAATTTTGCTCAAGATCATGCTACGCATTATGTTATGCAGAGATGGTGTTGGGGTGTTTGATTTAATGTTCAGGCAACTATTGTACCTGGGAGAGAGCTGAGACTCAGAGAGGGGCAGTGAGTCACCTGAGGTCACACAGCCAGCATTGGTGAGGGTCTGAACTGCAGAGTGATTGCCCTAGAGACAGTGCCTTAGGGAGCTGAGCTCTGACTAGGAACTGATGAAACCAGTGTGTGGTGGTCCCTCTGCTGTGAGTGAGGCCAGGAGAGGGTTGCCCCGCTGTCTGTGGTGTTCTCGGAAACAAGGTGCATTCCTGGAAGTTGCCTCTCCACCCCGCTTTCTTATCCTGCACTAATGGAATGGAGGCCTCTATTACCGAGCTTCGTGGTAGCTCTTTCCTGAAAGTGTGCTGTGCCCAGACGCTGCTCCCCAGGGTTCTCCCCAGGGTTCCCAGGCCCCACTGCTCTCAGGAGCAGGAAGGGATGGTTTCTCAGTGTCCAGGGAGATCTCTCCTCTCTTACAGTTTCCCCTGGGAGCCATCTGTCCGTGGACCCAGATTGGATTAGAGCAGTGGCCCCCCCCCCCTCCAGCCTCTCCTGCTAGGGAGGGTGTAGCTACCATGTTTGAGAACGACTAGCCACCTCATCCCATGTGTGTCTTCTACACACCCCTCGGGATGAAGAAAAAGATTTCCCTCCTCCTATTTCCTAGGTAGGACTCTCCCACCTTCGGCATTATCTTGGGTCCCACTGCAGGTGACAGCGTCGGTTGGTAGCTCTGTGTCTGGCAGTTAAACAATGAACTCCCTCCTCCCATTCTTCTCTGTTCTTCCCTCCTTTCCTTCTCCCTTCTTCCGTCTCTTCATTTCTCAGTTCCTTTGACTTCTTCCTTCTCTCCTCCTCCTTCCTTCCTTTCCTCCTTCCCCTCCCTCCCTTCCTTTCTTCCCTTCCTTTTTCCACCCCCTTTCCTTCTCTTTCCACCTACAGTCTCTCAATCCATCCCTTTTTATTTTTGCCACCTCCATCCTAGTGATTTCTGAAAGTGCCCCAAACAAGTCAAAACCGACCATCTCTACCCTTGCTCTCCAAACTCCCTAACCCACCTGTCACAGGCTTCATTGTGGGCCTTGACGTTCTTACGTCAAAACTGTAAACCCAGCCTTTCCAAGCAGGAGTGTATTTGGAGATGTGACCTCTGAAGAGGCACTTCATTTTAGACGAAGCCATTTTAGAAGGCTCTAACACAGCGCACCCGATGTTCTTAGTGCAAAGAGGGACTATGGACACCTAAAGATTCTCCACGGCTACCACACAGAGAAAGGCACTGTGAACACACAGAGAGAGGACTGCTGTGTGGTCACGGGAAGACCAACCTCTTAGACTTCCAGTCCCCAGAACCGGGAGACAGTAAACCCCATTGTGTAAGGGATCCCTCCAGATCTAGGTTAGGCTATTCACGGGTGTGCCTACACCGTGTCCCCTTGTCTCTACCCCTCAGGTGCCTGGCTTTATCACTGCTGCCTGCTGGTTTACTGTCCCTGCATGCACACCAATGGGCTCAGCATCTGGTTACTGGATGGAAGCTGGTGGGAGTCAGTTGCTTCGGATCTGACATTCTCATGTTCGGGATGACTGAGACAATGCGTAGTGACAGCAGTCCCCCACAGGCACTGTAAACATCACTCTCTGTGGATCACCCTTGTCCTCATGAATCTGGGAGGAGGGCACCATTAGCATCTCTGTTTTGCAGCTTAAAAAAAAAAAAAAAACAAGGCACAAAGGACCATGAAACTCCAGCAGCAGACAGCTGGGCAGGAAACTGAGTCCAGCCTCCTGAATCCCTGCTGTGAATAAAACTGCTGATGTTTCCTGCTGGGTGTAGAGTCGTGGGGGGGGGGGGTGTCAGGATCTGATAGGTCTAGATAACTTACATAGAGTCGCAAACTCGACACTCTCTCACCTAACCTTTAATGAACAAACTGGGAAATTAACGAAAACAAAGCCTTGAAGCGTGCTTGATAGAAATCTGCTTTCCTCTCCAGGTTACAGAATTATAGCTCAGGTTTAAAGAGAAAACACCTGAACGCAAGGCACAGTAGGTAAAAGCTCCATGCGGGCTTGCGCAAAGCTCACATCTGCATGCCCAGCGGTCACACACCTGAACAACTCCAGTAGGAATAGGTGTGTGTGTGTGTGTGTGTGTATGTGTGTATGTGTGTATACGTATGTATGTGTATATGTGTGTATCTGTGTGTGTATGTGTGTATATGTGTGTGTATCTGTGTGTATGGGTATGTGTGCGTGTGTGTATGTGTGCGTGTGTTTGCGCGTATGTGTATACGTGTGTATGTATGTGCATATGTGTGTATGTGTATATGTATGTATCTGTGTGTGTATCTGTGTTTATGTGTGTATGTGTGCGTATATGTGTGTATGTGTGTGTATATGTGTGTGTGTGTATGTGTGTGTGTGTGAACATCCCGAGGGTTGTGGACAGGGAAACAATAGTTTCCTCTCACCGGCTGCCACCGCATGTACAGTGCCGTCACAGCCATCTATGCCAGTATTCAACGGCAGATCTGGTCACGGGGTGTGGGCACGCTTTACTGAGCGGGTATTTAGAAAAGACTGCTAGGGACAGCCTCGTCATTTTAAAGAGATGGCAGGAATCTGTGTCTCAGTCCTCTAGACTGCCCCTCCCATTTGGAAAGATAAAAGCCAAGTCTCCCCTGAGGTGATGGGATCGATCTCCACAGTTAACTCAGGAGTAGGAGCCAGCGTTGGCATCAGTTGCGCTGGGATGTGGGGCTAACCAGGCTCTGATCTACACCGCTGATGCGGTGGCTGACAGCTGAAGAGACGACAAGCAGAGCCTGCCCTCGTGTTCCCCATGGGCTCAGGGCTTGAGCTGGTCTGGAAAAACTGTGAAACCTCTGGGACCCGACTAGATGGCAGACAAAGGGCCCTGCGAGCTGCACCTCGGCTTGGCTCAGCCTACACTCTTTGTTTTGTGACCAGCTCAGACGTAAGCCATCTGCACGACACACCTCCTGCCCTGCCTTCCCCTCTAGGGTGGGCCGAATTCCTTCAGACTCAAGCAGAGTGATTTCTTCTTCCCCTTTTTTTTACATTTTTACAATGTTTTAATTATTACATTAGAGAATAACTAAATAATTAATCACTTAAAAGTAATTAATTAAATAATTCTTACAATTATTTAATGTGCTGGGGAAGGGAACAATTGTGCTGCATTTGTGGGGGTCAGAGGACAAACTGCAAAATCAGTACTCCCCTTCCACCTTGCAACTTGTAGGAATCACACTCGGGCCATCAGACATGGCAGCAAGTGACTTTGCCTGTGGGCTGCCTGGGTTACTTTTGGCTAAGTATTCTGTCACAGAGGGAAGAAAAATGAGTAATACAACTGATTACAAAAATGCTCTAGTTCATTGAGAGGGGGCTCAGAGGTTAAGAGCACTGGCTGCTCTTCCAGAGGACCCAGGTTTGGTGCCCAGTACCCACAAGGGACTCCTGTAACTCCAGTTCCAGGGGATCTGCTGCCCTCTTCTGAGTCCTGAGGACACTGCATTCATGCACATGCGTGTGCACACACACATGCTCACACAACCCACAGATACTCTTATGTTCACAGTTCAAGAGTAATAAAAATAAATCTTTAAAACAGTCCAGTTCCTCCCCATTCTTCACTTTGCACGTTCTGTACTGTGATTTTGCTGCTTCATTTTATCTTTCCCTTGCGCCTTGTGTCTGCTCTGGCCTTTTGACTGGCTCGGCCAACAGAATGGTAGAGGACCACTGTGTCTTTTGTGAGCTTCGGCCTTAGGAAGCCTTGTGTTTAGGCCCTTATTCTTAGACTTCCTCTCGGATACAGTGAGAACAAGCCTATACCAGCCTGCACTAGATGCTGAGAGAGGTATCTGCTGTCCTAGTCACCAAGGCAACCAGTCAAAGTGAAGACTGGTCCTGCCAAAGCCAGCCAGCCTCCAGTTTATCCAAGAAATGAATACAAACACGGAAGTAGAACCAGCTGGAAGCAGCCAAGGTGGGTTTACCCGGCAATCTGTAGACATGGAATCAATGAGAGGGGGTCCAAGTCACTCCAAGCTGAGAAATACATTTATGCCCTTTCTATATTCAATCTGGCTAGAACCTTTCACGAGTCAAAGGAAAGAAATGGCCATCTTTAGTTTAGGGCAAGAGTTGTCAAGCTATAGCCCGGGAGTGGGTTTATCCCTTGTTTCTATAAAGAAAGCCTTATTGGAATACAAACTATACAACCCATCCTTTTGCCTTTCATACTACAACTGTAAAGTAGTTCTGAGAGAGACTATGTGATGTGCAAAACCCAGGACCTTTACTACATACCTTATAGAGTAACAATAAATATATACTATCGCATCTACTGTGGGTTCACAGCCACAATGGTAGTTTATCTAATATACCTGAGCTTGGAACCAGGAATTAGAGTCCTATTGTGAGACCTCTGGCAGGGTTCACCTACCCCTGAAGTTCGCTTTCCCCATTTGGCATTGAAGGAAACTTTCTGCTCACTATACTGAAGCCTCATTGTTCCGATCAGATGAATGGGGAGTGTGGCCCACTTCTCTAGGCATCTCTCCCCATCTCTGGATGTATGTGATCTCATGCTTCCAGGGGCTTATCCGTGGGAGTGGTGGGGAGACAGGGGGTGCTTCCAACAGACACTGAGCGAGCGTTACAAGGCCTGTTTTCCTAAGGGGATGCTTTAAGGGCTTCCAACTGAGGCTGCCACTTGGAGTGCTCATCAAAGATAGGGCACCAAGAAACCAGATAATGTCAATCAAAGGTGGGCAGGGGGCCAGTGGGATAAGGCGAGGTTAACCTGGACTATTGAGAAGGGATGAGGGTGTGTTCAGTGTTTGGTGCTGATGACAGTGGTGATGGGAAACAGTGATGATGATGATGATGGACGATGATGGTGATGGTGGTGGTGGTTAATGGCCGCCTGGATCTTCTACCCATCAACTGAGTGCTTTTATTAATAATTTTAATATCTATCCCTGTGACTTTGCTCCTGGGTTACTCTGTGTGCAGGAGCCTTGACTTTCAAAATATGACATGAACTCCCCAAAGGCAAGGCCTTGGGATCTCCTTCCTACAGTGCACATGAGGAAAACTCAGAGTGTGACATCAGACAGACCTGACCTAAAGCCACAGAGGGTGACATACTGTGTGTGCTCCGTGACCAAAGAGGTGGTCCATCCCTTCGAGCTTTCCCTTTGTCTTCTGCAGGGGGGTGAGGAAATACCTACGCAGCAGGGATCCCGAGGGCTGAGTGCACGTGGTATCTACAGAGGGGTAGTTACTGCTGCAAAGGCTGTGGGAGAGTAATAAATCAGAGCACGCTGCAGTGCTGCCTGTGCCTTACCCCGAGGCTTGGAGGGATTGTGTAGTTTTGGACCTAGGGGCCGTCTGTTCGTGTCTGCAGACATCTGTGGTCGTCACAGCTGGCGGGGTGAGGAGTGCTATTGACATCTGCCGGGCAGAGGCCCGGGACGCTGCTTTTAAATATCTGGAGAGCCCTTTACAGCAAGGAATTTGCAGTCTCCAGATGCCAATAGTGCTGAGGTAAGAAAGTTATGCCTCTGCCTGAACCTTTCCAAGTGGGAAGCTGTGGACTTGTAGCTCTCAGAACAGGAGAAGAACCAGATGACAAGGTTTCAGAAAGCGAGTGAGTGCTTTGGAAGGGTGACTAAATCTCTGTGTGCTATAAGGTGAGGAGGCCAGGCCATTAGGCCTCAGACCACAGAGACTTTCCTGGGAAAGAGCTCTCTGCGTCTTTGGGGGTGGGGTGGGAGGATAATCGTGTTCCCTAAGCCTCGGCTGAGAAGTGTTTTTGTGCAAGTTCTGCAGCGAGAGCTCAAGACGGATTTTTATCAAGCTTTGCAATCTATTTGTCATTCGAGGGTCTGCCTGGTGAGGGAAGGGGTGACTCTGGCCACATCTGATTTGCCGCTGGGGTCTAATCTACCCAATTTATGGTATCTGTTCTCTGTTACTTTTTTTATGAGCCAGGTTTGCTGGCTCCAGGTTCCTGGTCCTTTTCAAGAGGACAAAGGAGCAGCTAGGTGGCTCTCGACACGTTAACCCGTGGGGCCTGCTTACACGTGTGACTCAGGCAAGGAGGGAGCGATGATGCAGTTGTGGATGGGTGTGTACGGGCGGATAATGATGCCGGCCTCCAGCTTCTTCAGCTTCTCACTCTCATTTGCCCTGAGGGAAGAGCAGAGGGAGGAGCAGAGTGAGCCAGAGGGAGCAGCTTTAGACTGCAGCTAGCCAGAGCTTGTCACCTACAGTGTGCCTGGCAACCATGCCAACTTTCTGGGTGACAATTCTAGAGGCAGTCCATGAACAGAGCACATTAAGAGAAAACTACGCTTGCCCCACCAGAGGAGCCAAGAAAAGAAACAAGGAGGCGAATCCTTTGTTCCGGAAACACCATGCTAGGTGCTGGAAATGCTTCCTCAAGATTAAGACATGAAATACTTTTGTGTTGGTTCCCACTGTTGTGACAAAGTACGTAAGCACAAGCGAGGTAGATCGCTGGATAAAGGATTTGCCTTGCTTGCCTCAGAGCTTCAGTCTATTGTGGCAGGGAGGGGTGCATCATCTTCCCCTGCAGAGGCCCAGGAAGGAGGAGGGAGAGAGAGAGAAACCTGTGGTGACTTGCTCTCTCAGTCTCCCTCTTTTATTCCATCTGGGCCCCCAGCCTGTGGGATGGTGTGGCCCACATCCAGGGCAGATCTCTGGGGAAACCCCCCCCTCCCAGACACACCCAGAGGTGGGCGCTGCAAATCTCCTAGGCGGTTCTCAACTCAGTCACACTGCTAGCTGCTAACCAGACTGACTGGCACGCTCTTTGGCTGTGTTCTAGAAAGGGTGTTTGAAACCATGTTTCAGTGCTTTTTTTTTTCTTTGACCCTCACAGAACTGATTATCTCAGTTATAGAAAATGGTTTTCTTTCAAATACTCCTGCATCACAGACATTTTTTTCTTATAACTGAATTTAGCCTGCAGGTTTGTTTTAATCACACTTACTTGTGTGTGTGTATGTGTGTGTGTACACATGCAACTTAACCAACCATCCACATTTTAAATTTGAGAAACTCTATGTAAAACTTGTGCCACCAAGGCAGAAGCAGCCATCCGCTTCTGGGTGGGCCTGTAAGCTCCGCCCATACTTTTGCCTTTGTCCACTGAGGAATGGACACCCTCGGGAGGGTGCTGTTGAGTTCAATTTCTCTTTTAAAAAGATCACCTCAGCTTCGTGTGAGGTCACGCTGGCACACACATGAGAACCAAGCACCTTCCTCTAGGGAATTTGAGGACAATCTTGGGGTCACAGAGATAATTAAAAGATAACCCCAGAATCTAGGTGCCCCATTTTTCTTGTCCATTGACTCTTGTTTGACCCTAGAGCTGGAAAACAAACAATCTAGAAAAAAAAATCTCACCGGCAAATACATGGCTGTATTCTGTTTTACCGGCCTAACCATGTCTCCCGGAGTAAATAGAAATTAAGCCAGTCCTCATATTTCTGAATCTGTGGTTTGATGCCTTCTCTTGGCTCCAGTGATAGACAAACTCCACTCCCTCACCACCTTTTCCAACTGACTCTACAACTGAAAACCCAGGTCACTGAGCGCAGCGGAGCCAAGCTTGCAGGAAGTACTTCATTCTCCCATCTCCTGGCTTACTTTGTCAGGCTTGAAACTTTTGAGGGGAATTGCTTAGATCCCAAAGTGTGTGTGTGGGGGGGGACGGGATGGGTCAAAAATAATCCCTTTCGCTTTGTAAAAGCAAAAGATCAAAGACTTGGTTAGAAAACATTGAGGAAGGAACACTTGTATTCTTGCAACCTCTGTATTGGAGTCATATTTGCAGAAGGGGGGGGGTCTTAGATGTAGGCTACCTTCATGGAAAATAAGATTTTTATGCAAAAAAAAAATATAAGGTTAACAGAAGCCCAGAGAGATGAAAATCACTTTGTTGTATTAGAGTCGCTGACAGGCGCTGAGTGGTCTTCACACGCTGTGATCTGGGTTGAGCTGCGCATCATTTCATGTAATCCTCATAGGAAGGTCTTTCAGAATATCACTATTAGTTGTACAGTAAGTAAGCAGCTACCAGGTGATTCTGCTGGGCTGTTCGGGTGAGCGTTGCTAACTGGTTACGGTTGCAGCCGGTTTCTATTGCGTGCCTCCCCTGTTTGCTTTAGTGTTCCCTTTTCATCCCCAGAGTGTGCTCTGTCTTCACAGGATAAGTTTCCTGGAGCATTGTCTGTGAGGACTGTTGAAACCCATAGGCTTGGGGACTACTGGGTTTGTGGCTGAGGATGCTTCTAACCAGTGACGTCAAGGAAAACCTAACAGGTACCATTCAGACCATGTTTCTATCTCAAATGGCTAATGAATTCCCATTTCGTAGGAATGTTGCACAGCAGACACTTGCCATGACTTCTGTGTTGGTGCTATGGTTCCTTTTACTGTCTTATCTATGTGAGCACCTCATCACAATGGAGCCGTTTGAGGATGGTCCTCCCCCAGCTGGGAGAAAGGCTTCCTGAAAGGGAAGGGGCTTTGCTCAGAAAACAGACTCTCTTCTGTGTACTGGCTTTGTGTGAGACCAGGGGATGTAGGGCAGAGATACTGACGTGGGGTAAAGTGATAAATGCAGGCGCACGCGTTATGAGTGCCCAGAGAAGAGACGGCACAGCAGGTGGTCGGCTGAAAGCTAAAGTACCAGGAGGAGGAGTACTGAAATGGGTGTTGAGCTTGGTGGTGGCGGCACAAGCGTTTAATCCCAGCACTCAGGAGGCAGAGGCAGGTGGATCTCTGTGAATTTGAGGCCAGCCTGGTCTACAGAGCAAGTTCCAGGACAGGTTCTAAAACTACACAGAGAAACCCTGTCTCGAAAAACAAACAAGACAAACAATAACAATAAAACAAAACAAAGAAGAAAAAAAGAAAATGGGGAGTACTGAGCTTTGGTTGGAAGGGGATATGGAGTGGGATGGGGGAGGAGATGGAAAAGATGGGGGAGGTGTATTTGGGGACAAGCAAGATTCTTCTGTCGCCCTTAGTATCATCAGATAGAAGGGTGGAAAGTGTGTTAGAAGATTCTCCACTTAATGTCAGAGAGTGAGGATGGCCAGGCGGGTTGGACAAGGCTGAAGAGGGAACTGAGTACCAACCTAGGAAAGGGGAGCCACCCTGACTGAGCCATCACTGCTCAGGGGTCCTGAGGCTGCGGTCACTTACGTCAGCAGAGTGTCCCTGCCCTGGAGATCTGAGAACTTCTTGGCTGGTTGGAATTTATTTAATTCTTCCTCCTTCAGCTTCTGGAGTAGCTGTTGCCTCTTTTTCATGGCGCTTTCCTCTCGCAGTATGCTAAAATACCCACGGCCTATCTTCACACACTGGATCAGGAAGCTGGAGAAAGAAGCAGAGGTGGGAGGTGGAGGAGGGAGGCAGAGTCAGACAGACATGCAGGTGGATATAAAATGAGGGAGAATAACAGGTGGATGGATAAACAGATGGACAGATAGATGGAGAGGCATACAGAGAGGAGGGGAGTTAGAAAAGACAAGCTCTTAAATATATTAGGACAACATCCTTCAGTCTTAGGATCAACCATCTCTGAGGTCACCCTCATGCCCACAGAACAGGACCCTTATTAACAGATTGAGTGTGACATATTCCTCACAGGCTCTTGCTTTTAGTATTTGGCTCTCCAGCTGGTGGTGCTACTTTGGGAGACTGTGGGGCTTTTGGGATGTGGGGGAGTAGCTGGTAAAAGTGGAGTAGCTGGCAGAAGTGGATTGTGGAGGACCTTTGAAGGTCCTGGTTCAGGTTCCTCTCACTGTGCTTCTTGGTTGCCTGAGATGTGAGTGGACTCTCTCATCTGCTCCTGCCACCAGCAACTGAGCTGCACTGTGTCCAGCCATCCCTGCCATGATGGATTGACACTGTGAGCCCAAGGAGACCTTTCCTTCCTCAGATGGTTCCTGTCAGCTATTTGTCACGGCCACATGGAAGAAATGAAGATCCCCTCTGCATTTCCAGAGTCAGGCAGACCTCAGCTTGGGTGCTGCATCTGTCTTTTACTAAGATCAGGGGCAGGGCATTTCATCCCTGGGAAGCTGTGTTCTGCCTCCCAACTGGTGTTTACGGGGTATGTTTCCTCTAGTGAGCTGCTAATGGATGCTGTGAGGAGACATAGAGATCCACAGCCCAGGCCGGGGAGGTGACTCAGTGAGCAAAGTGCCCACTATGCAAGTGTGAGGGCTGGAGTTCAGGTCTCTGGAACCATGTAAGAAGACCAGGGACTGCAGCATGCTCCCGGACATGCTGCCAGACACAGGCAGGGCCCTGAAGCTCACTGACCAGCCAGTCAAGCTGGATCGATACATACAGCTGCAGTGAGAGACCCTGCCTCAAAAACTAAAGATAAAGAATGAGCAAAGAAGATACCCAATGTTGACCTCAGGCCTCCCCATAAATGGAACTCATGAGCACACACCCCAGCACGCAAATGTGTAGAATGTGCACACACCCACAGTACCCATCTCACACACATCAGCATGCAAATGTGCACACACCCACAGTACCCATCACACACACACCAGCATGCAGATGTGCACACACCTATAGTACCCATCACACACACACCAGCATGTGAATGTATGCACACCCACAGTACCAGTGACACACACACACACACATTTCGCAAGCAACAGGATTAGAGACTTTCATATATCAGAAGAGCAGCGGGTGCCAGGTCCTCAGAGGGGCTTGTCCGTGCTCACCGATGGCAGAGCAGGTAGCACTCAGGGTCTGGGGGTGGGCCAAGGCTTCCTTCTTTTCAATCTGTAGACATACATCTGTGAGCTGCTTAGACATCTACGTTGTTACGTGTAGATGCCTGCTGTACCATGTGACCTGTGTTGGCATTATCAACCACAGTCCCTTGATTACCCCTGATGCATATGGTCCGCCCTCCTGTCTCTGACCCATCTTTACCAGAGGTAGGATTTGACAGCAATGAGCCGCACAGGAAGGGGTGTGTGTGTGTGTGTCTGCCTGAGGCACTGTCGGGCAACACAGTCAACTGCTGCCATGTTTCCTATATTTACATTTTGGGTCTGAAATTTAACTTGTTCTTCAAATCTTGATAAGCAACCTATATGTGGTCACTTGGGGATACAGAGTGAACAAGACACTAGGGCCTTTTGTACTCATGGCCTCTTACGAGAAAGACACAGAAAGTCAACAATAGCCCAGAGTCACGGGGAGAGAAGATTCTGGGTTTTCAGGGAGGGGCACCTAATTCAGACTAGAGAGAATTGGGAAACCTCTTTCAGGAGAAAGTGATATTTGACTTCCTTCTTCTTCCTGGTGTCTCACTGTGAAGACCACACTGTCCCCGAACTCAAAATTCTCTTGACTCAGCCTCTGAGTTCTGGGATCACAAGAATACACCGCCATTCCCTGGAATTGTTTAATTTCAGATGGAAATCTCAAGCACTGTGTTACATTTTGCTGTGACAAAGCACTGGGCAAAAGCAATTTATTATTATTATTATTGTTGTTGTTGTTGTTTGGTTCTCTGAGACAGGGTTTCTCTGTGTGGCTCTGGCTGCTCTGGGACTCGCTCTGGAGACAGTATCTCAGGTGGCAGCCAGGTGATAATTGTCATTGTGTCAGTGTCTCTGGCTGGCCTTGACTGAAAACCTATTTCAGACATCAGTATTGGGGACGGGCTGCACCAAGCATCAAGCATTGGTATATGGAAGGTTCAGATATGTGGGAAAGAATTGCATACAAACAAACACACTCCCCACAATTGCCAAAAGGCTGTTGGGGGGTTTACCTAGAGACACTGGGAGGAGGGCCTTCCTGGAGGAGGTGACAGGTATGGCTAGCAGGAGCTCACCAGGAGGAAGTGGGATCAGAGCGCTGATGATGAACTGGCCAGCTTACATGCAGGTGGCTTGCTGTGGGGGAGCTGAAGCCCAGACCTTCAATGGCAGAGGCCAGGAGCCTTGCTTCCTGAAGTGAGCCTGGATTTCAGAGCTTCAGGGACTGTGCCTTCTAAAGATGTTTTGGGGATCTGCGAACATCTCACTGAGTGTTTGTGGGTGACTTTCTAAGCTAGTGAGTTCCACAGACAGGCTGGAGCTGGAAAACTTGAGGAAACGACTGAGTTTTCAGCCCTTCTCCAGCCAAGGCAGCCCGAATCCCAGATGCTCTGCCTTCTGGAAGGGCCCAAGAGACAGGTGAACAGGGTTGGTGCAGGGAGAGTCTAGACGGGATGCCAGACATCCCAGTCTATTCCGGGAACTTCAGACGGTGGGATCACTGAATGAGGTGTTCCCCAGATACCGTGGAGGCCCATTTAAAAATGCTTAATTTTATCTTGCAGATTCTCATTTAATTCCCTGTATGTTTCCTCCATCCTCCTCCTCATTATTGCTGATTGCTGATTACCAGGCTGTAAGCAGGATGAGAGCTATTTGCGGGGAAGAACAGCTTTTGGCTTTAAATCCGTTGGGGAGGGCGGGGGGCTTTTGCTCACTGCTTCACAGGGCGGAAAGCTCCCTTAGCTGACATCAAAGAGAAGTGACACGCAGGGGGTGATTGTCAGTACCAGGGAAGGAGGCAGCTTACACAATGTAAAGTGTCCTCTGCCAGACACAACTTCCTCACTGTTGCTTGGGGCGGTGTTTGCATTTTCAAGGGCCATATGTTCTCCGTAGGGGAGTTCAGGAGTGCATTGGAAGCCAGTGGGAGGATGGCTTGCTGTACTTACTGAGGACTCTGCATGGCTCAGGAGGATGGGGCAGAGAAACAGAAGCGTGCCATGAGAAGACAGAGGAAGGGATAGGTTCAAGTGCGAGTTTTGCTTTGTTACTTTTTGGGGTGGTATGTGTTGTGTGCATATGTGTGTGCAGTGTATGCGTGTATGTGAGTGTGTGTATGTGTGTGTGCGTGCAGAGGCCAAGGGAGGATGCCATGTGTCCTGCTCTCTGATCCTGGAGCTAGGCTGGTGACCAGAAAACCCCAGTAGTCCCCCTGCCTCCTTCACGATGGTGGTGTTGGTGTCACAGGCAGGAGACTACCCTGGCTTCTTACGTGGGTTCCAGGATTTTAACTTGGGGCCTTCATGCTTATGCAGCGAGCGATTGAACCTGCTGAGCTGTCTCTCCGTCCCGCATTTGTTTTTATTTTTAATTGACATAATGGTTGCACATGTTTTTGGGGTGCAGTGTGGTATCTCTGCACAAGTATGAATGGGTCATGACCATTCAGGGTAGGTGGCATGACCATCACCCCAGATGCTGCCTAGTTTTTGTGTTGGGAACATTCCAGCTCTCCTCTATGAGCTGTCTGCAAACACTCGGTTAGTGGTTGTCAATCAGCTACAGCCTTCAGTGCTGTGGACCCCTTGAAGTCCCACGGCACCCCTGCGCCATTAGCCATCCTCTCCCTATCTTCCCTCGCTCATTCCCAGCCTCAGGTAATCACCGTCTTGCTCCCTAATTCTAAGCCACTGACATTTTTAGCTTCTGCTAATTTTAGGGCACCCCGCATTTGCTGTCCTGCACCTGACCCACTTCGCCCAACACAATCCCCTGCGCTTTCCCTGGGGTAATTATAAATAGTAAGTTCAGCACTTGGTTTAATTGTCAACTTGACCTTGTAGAATGATGGGGAGCTGGCCCTCTGGGCGCGCCCGTGGGGAATGATCTTGATTATGGTAACTGAGATGAGACAAGCCATCCTGATGATGGGTGAGATCATTTCATGGGCCGTGTCCTGTGCTGTATAAAAGTGGAGAAATCTGACTTAGTACTAGCATGCTCAGTGTACGCAGTTGAGTTGTCTTCTTCCTGGCTGAGGGTGTGGTGTGGCCAATTGAAGATCTGTCACCGTGACTTCCCCGCCGTGATGGACTATAACCCGAAGCCGTGAGCTGAGATCAATCCCCTTTTCCCTTGCGTTGCTTTGGTCAGTGTATTTCAACACAGCCGCAGGGGAAGACTACAAGAGACACATGTGTACGTATTAATTTGAAAGCATCTCACAGTGGAATCCTGGCTGGCCCCTCCATCTTGGGATCCTGCTGCATCCAATTCCCAAGTGCTAGGATTACAGGCTTGGCCACCTCAGCTGGCTAACGGAGCAGGTGAGCTTCAACTGCTTCAGTTCCAAATAGGACAGTCATTCGTTAGTTCATGCCTCAAGGGGCTGTTGGAGGGATTCAGTGAGCCCTTGAATGTAGTGAGTTTAGTTTAACACCTATGACGTAGGACCCAGTCATGGGGAGGGATGCTTTTTTTTTTAAAGATTTATTTATTTGTTTTATGCATGAGTGCTCTGACTTTATGCCAGATGGAGCATCAGATCCCACTAGAGATGGTTGGGAGCCA